TGGATATGTTAAAGTGCCTTTTTAGATGGTAACTTTGCTGAGCAGGCCCAAGCTCTCCATATCAATGACATTCCAGCCCCTGTCAGTCCCTGAGTAGACTCCCAATTTAACCCTTCGGTTCCCAGGATCCAACTCCATCCACATGGAGGGGGGGGGCGGCGGGGAGACATGTGAGATGTGAGACTTGGGTGGAAGGTGACTGAGCTAACTGGGCCACCAGTGGGCAAGCCTGGCAGGCACTGATCACTGGGGAGGTACCTAAGTCCTACAGTGTGTATCCCTCTGGGGCTGGCTGGTTCCTGGCAGTGTAGCACTCTGCTTGGCTTCCTGTACAGACATTGAGCCAAAGAAGGCAGGGGGCCTTCCTGGGGGTGTCCAGGCTCAGCTTACTGGGTATGTGCAGCCCCCCAGCCAGTTATGATGTTATAGGCTTAGAGTTACCCAGGAACTCCTGGGCCACTGAGTCAAGGCTAATTGTAGTGTAAACAACTATCCTAATTTTTTTGGAAAGCTGGGCTAAATACTCAAACTGCCCAGGGGGTAAAAAGCCTGTTGGGGAGGGGGCACACAACTGCCTAGGACAAGAAAGAAAGGGGGGCAACCCAAGGCAGGTGTACAGCCCAGGACCCGGCTCTCCCAATCAAACTGGGGATACTCAAACTGGAATGTCCCAGGTCAACTGGGTGAGTTGGGCACCTGAGACCTAAGGCAAGAGGGTTTTTTTTTTTTTTCTGGGCCTGGGGAAGAGGAAACCCCCTATTTGGAGCTGCCTAGGGTAGGGTCCTGTCCGTGGGCCCTCTGGATACCCAAGCTTGCTGCTGCCACCTGACAACTGCCCAAACCTGTGTGGCTGGATTCCTGGCAGCCCCTGAAGGCCACAGAGGGAGCTCACAGTCAGGCTTGTCTCTATTTGTCATTCTTTCCACCAGCCCCTCATCCTTGAGATATACAAGCCCCAGGGGCTGGATGACCTGGAAGAACCCAACACCATCACTGGAGGGCTAGAGACCAGCCATGGTCTAATCCACTGTTGTGGGTTCCCACCCCACCCCTGCCACTGTGAAAAAGGCACCTCCTACCTCCTCTGGTCTAGAGCTCTAGACCAGCCCCTCATCCCAGAGGGCCTGCCTCCTGTGGGGAGGCACAGACACTGGTCTCTGTCTCCTTTTTTATTTTTTTTCGTATGGGGAGGTTCTCAAGCTTTTGGAGATCACAAACCCCTTTGTCAATCTGATGTAAACATAAACCTCTCCTCCAAAAAGTGCTAAAATTCATACCCAGAAGGAAGGTTCCTGCTCCTGGGTTCTAGTCCCAAACAACCTGGAAGCTAGAACCCTCTATAAATAAAGTCTCTTCAAATTCAAAGCACTGAAGGCCCAACCTCCCTGACACCAGGTGTGCAGAAGGGGCACCTCCCAGTACTGCCCTTACCAGTTTCTGGTGTCTGTGGCTAGGTCAGTTCCAGCCTCACCCCCAGTCCTCTCTTTCTTGGGAGGAGAAATGGAGGTGAGAGACTGTCCAGGATGAGGGCCCACTCTGCATTTTTCAGAATCCACACACATCTTTGGAAATCCTATGAATGCTCCCTTTTCAGATAATTATAGATGGTGGCTGACACCTGTAATTCCAGTGATCCAGAAACTGATGGGAGGCTGGAGCAAGAGGATCACATGTTCAAGACCAGTCTCAGCAACTTAGCAAGACTCTCAGCAATCTAGTGTGAGCCTATCTCAAAAAATAGTCCAGGTTGTAGCTCAGAGGTAAAGTGCTCCTGGGTTCAGTCTCCAATACCAATAAGTAAAAATAATAATAGTCCTCAGGGATTCTTTGTCCCCAGAGAAGGGCTTGAGGGAATTCCTGAACTTCCCACAATGGGGTCTTTGATGCAAGGAGGTTAAGGAGTTGACTCTCCATGACGCATTCCTGGTAGGGGTCAGAATTTGAGCAGAGGTCTGTGCGACTCTCAGGCTGCCCCCAATGAGGAGGCTCCCAGGGCTCTTTCCTGCCGACTGGAAGGTGTGGCTCAGGGATACCAGAATCCTCCAGGTGTCTCCCCCAGGGAGGCCTGACTGGCTGCACCCTGTCCTGGGCTGCCTGCCCTTTCTTGCTCGGCCTGTGCGCCCCACCTCACCCCTGCTCGCCTCCCCAGCAGGCTCCTCTTTGTCCCCTGGTCTCTGGAGGCTTTCAGCAGCTCAGCTCAGCCCCCCAGATTCGGCAGTGGGGGTGGGGCAGGCACACCTGAGCTGAGATAGAAGGCGAGTAGTTTTCTAGGCCGTTGTCAGGGCAATGCCACCTGAGCTGGGCGCCAGGCACCTGTTGCCCAGGGAACCGCGCAGGCGGGGCCCCTCCCCCGGGAGCCACCAGGGCCACTGGGCTGAGACGGAAGGCAGATCAGATTCCGGAGAATCTTGGGCGGGTAGGGGGACCGAGAGGGGGTTCGATACTCGGGGAGGAGGGGCACATTTGCATCATGAAATGAGGCAGGGGGATGACAAAGGTGGCATGGGAGTGGGCAGGCTCAGAGGGCAGGCTGAGACTCCCTTTGCCTATTCCTCTGTCCCTAGCCAGTTACCTTGGCACCCCATCTCCCCTATTCTTCAACTTGCCCCACCCAGTCTTCTCATTCCTGGTCCCTGAGCTCCAAAGCAGAGTTGTTCTTCCTCCCCAGGCCGCCAGGTCTAGGTAGACCCCCTCCCACTGGCCCTGAGGCTCCCCTACCGCCCCTCCCATGCACCTCCAGCTCTCCTCCTCCTCAACCCTCAGGTCCCACGGCCCAATCAAGGCCTCCCAGCCCTTGGCTCTGCTCCTCCCCTGCTCGGTCCTTAAAACCCCGCCTGCAGCCAAGACCGGCAGAGGCCCCAGGTGGCACCTTGGCTGGTGCTACTCTGAAGGAACCTGCGCCAGCTGGGAGAGGAAGCATCGAGCTGGGTGAGCTTGGCCTCACCAGACTGCAGGAGTCTGAGGGGCGATAGGCCACCAAGGGGACAAAAACCCCTCAGCTAAGTGGGACAGAGACTGGCTTTTGTTCCGTGAGGATCTGACACCTGCAAGAGGCCTACAGATGTGAGGACTGTCCTGACCTAGAGGCTTCGATTCATTCTCCCCTCTCCCTGGGCACTGAGACCCACCCACCTGACTCGTCTGGTCCTCTCTGTGAGTCAACCAGACTGCTTGGGGCTGGGGAGACCTGACTGAGGGGCAGATGGCTTCAACTGGTCTTGAACTCCTGGGCATGACCCTGGCTGTGCTGGGATGGTTGGGGACCCTGGTTTCCTGCGCCCTGCCCCTGTGGAAGGTGACCGCTTTCATCGGCAACAGCATCGTGGTGGCCCAGGTGGTGTGGGAGGGGCTGTGGATGTCCTGCGTGGTGCAGAGCACTGGCCAGATGCAGTGCAAGGTGTATGACTCGCTGCTGGCACTGCCCCAGGACCTGCAGGCCGCGCGTGCCCTCTGTGTCGTAGCCCTCCTGCTGGCCCTGCTTGGCCTGCTGGTGGCCATCACTGGCGCCCAGTGTACTACGTGTGTGGAGGACGAAGGTGCCAAGGCCCGCATTGTGCTCACTGCTGGAGTCCTCCTGCTCCTCGCAGGCATCCTGGTGCTCATCCCGGTCTGCTGGACGGCCCACGCCATCATCCAGGATTTCTACAACCCCCTGGTGGCTGAGGCCCTCAAGCGGGAGCTGGGGGCTTCTCTCTACCTGGGCTGGGCTGCAGCTGCACTGCTCATGCTGGGTGGGGGGCTCCTCTGCTGCACATGCCCCCCACCCCAGTTTGAGCGGCCCCGTGGACCTAGGCTGGGCTACTCCATCCCTTCCCGCTCAGGCGTGTCGGGGCTGGACAAGAGGGACTACGTGTGAGGAAAAGGCTTCCTTCAGGCGTCTGCACCTTCAGACTGATTGCACCCTTGCTTCTAACCACCCCTTCCCTTGTGGGAGCCTATTTCTGCACAGCTGGAGCCAGACCTGGCGTTACAGATGTTCTCGGCTGGTCTGGCTGAAATGACCCTTAGTGGGGTCGAAATGGGGCCAAAGGTGTTGGTGCGCCAGACCACCTTGTCTCCCTTGTTTTCTTCTGTTGTCCAGGACATAGACTGACCTTTCTTCCTCTGAGCCCTGCCCCCTGCCCCAGGAACAAAGGACAGCATCTCCTTGTCTCCAAAATAAAGGAGATTGTGCTCTCCCTGCTTGGTTCATTTTGGCCCAAACTTCACCTGCATAAATAGGCCCTTTGGGACCAGCCAGCCTGTCAGTTCCCCAGCTCTGCCCTCAAGTCTGGAATCTGGAATAAAAAGAGATCTTGTAATCAGGTTTCCTTTGCTTTGTACACTTGACTCCCCTGAGGTGTCAGGCCAAGGTCTGCTTCAGGTCCTGCCCAGTGAAGAACCTTTTTTACACCATGGGGTCAAAGCCAGGAAAGGATCTGGGACAAGAGATCATCATTGACTTGCATCCACCGGTCTCCTCCTCTAGCCAGGCAGGGAACTCCATCCCCAGCAAAAGCAAAGGCACAGAAACAAAACATACTTTATTTAGTAAAATCTTGTGTGGGCCAGACATGGGCAGATGTGTGCAGGGTTAGAGGTGTGGGTGGTGGGGTCTACAGCACAGCTGGGACCAGACTTGGGGAGAGGATGTGGTAATAATGGAGGAGGTAGAGGTCAGAAGACAAAGTGGTGGGCAGTCCTTTGGTAACTCATCAGGAGTCCTTCCTGGCCTGATGAGGAGGGGTGTGGCTGTCCATCAAAGTCTAGAGAAGCCCAGTCCCCAGAAACAGTGAGAGCTCTCCTCCGGATAGGCCATCTTGTGGTCCCAAAAGCCACAGCAGCAAGGAGCCTTCACTTTGGTCCCACAGCTCCAGCTTGGCTTCCAAGATGGTGTTGCTCAAAGTGAAGAAGAATCCAGAAACAAATTTATCCAAAGGTGAAATATGCCAACAGCAGAGCCCAAGTGGGAGTTTGGGTCATCTTAAAGAGATACCTTTCCCTCCCCCATGAAAAAAAAAAAAAAAAAGCAAAAAACAAGAACCAAACCCAAAGCTGTCAGGCATCACCACTTCTCAATGGCTCCAGCTCAGGGGCCAAGGCTCCCTGGTTAATGGAGCCTCATTCCCCTGCTAGCATCAAACGTAATTCTTGGTGGGGTACTCAGAGGGTCCCCGAGAGGGGGAATGCGGGGCAGATGCTGAATATCGGGCCATGTAATGGCTGGAGCTCCGGGCCTCTCCAGAGGGGCAGGTGCAGCACAGCAGTCCCCCACCCAGCATCAGAAGGCCACAGGCTGCCCAGCCCAAATACAGGGAAGCCCCCAGCTCTCTCTTCTGGGCCTCAGCCACCAGGGGGTTGTAGAAGTCCTGGATGATGGTGTGGGCTGTCCAGCAGACTGGGATCAAGGTTAGAACCCCTGAGATGACAAAGATGATCCCAGAAGTGAGCACCAGGCGAGCCTTGGAATCCTGGTCCTCCACACAGGTGGTGCACTTGGCCCCAGCAAGGTAGACCAGCAGGCCGACCAGAGCCAAAAGGAGGGTGATGACACAGAGGGCACGTGCAGCCTGCAGGTCCTGGGGCAGTGCCAGCAGCGAGTCATACACCTTGCACTGCATCTGGCCAGTGCTCTGCACCACGCAGGACATCCACAGCCCCTCCCACACCACCTGGGCCACCACGATGCTGTTGCCGATGAAAGCGGTCACCTTCCACAGGGGCAGGGTGCAGGAAATCAGAGCCTTTACCCAGCCCAGCAAAGCTAGGACAATTCCCAGGATCTGCAGACCAGCAGAGGCCATGGCAAGGTTGAAGGGGCTACATTACATGGGAGAACAAAAGCAGAAGAATGTTAAAGGGTGGCTGGCCCAGACCTTATGTCACAGCTGTGACCCCACACAGGATGCCAACAGCAGGAACCCCGGGAGTTGTCCACAGGTCCTGATATCGGAGCAAGCTGTACTCTGTGAGCCTCAATTACTCACGGTCAAAATTAGCATTTAATGCCTCCCTAGTTAATCACTTCTTTCCCAATAATGAAGGTTGCCCAGGTTTCTCCCACCAGGTGCGGCTGTCCAGCCTGGCTCAGCCCTGGAGGGGCAGGCAAGGTGCGGGGGACACAAGGAGTTCCTTCTGGAAGGCCACCCCAATGACTGCCTGGGTTCACCCTCAATCTCCTTTGAGGGGCCAAGGAGTGAGCCCTCAAAGTTGGGGAACTTTTTGTGTGTATTTAGACCAAAAGGCCATGTTAGGGTCCCAAGAGGAGATAAAATCCAAGGGTCTGTTCAGCTGTTCCTCCACCACTAAGCTGGCTGCACCTGTGTTGGTCAGGCCCAAGATGTCGGGCTCACCAACCGAGGGGGATCTGCCGGATCTAGCTACCCGAAGTTTCGCCTCCGAATGCGTCCCTACCCTTCTCTCCTTCCCTTTCCACATACTGTGGCTTGACTCTGTGCGAGGGCGCGAGGGCGGGTTCCACCACCGACCCCCTGGGCCACAGCTACAAGGCACTGAGCGCCGGGAGGGGCTCAATGGCCGCGGGCCGCAGGATTCCCTCCCGCAGGTGAGGGGGAGGGGAGTCCCGCCCTGGAGAGGAAGGCAGGTGGGGGAGGGGCTCGCGGAGTTTCGGTGCCTTTGTCCCTGGGGAGGGGGAGGGGCGTTTAACCCTTCTGGAACTGCGGAAGGACTGGATCCCCTCAATACAGCCTCATGCCCAGGGACTCGCCCACCCAGGTGGCCCCGCATGCGTCCCCAAGCCCCCTGCACTAGGCTCCGCAAGGTGTGTCTCCCAAGCCCAATACACACACTTGCCCCGGGCTCACCTGCGTGAAGGACCTGAAAGATCCGTAGGCCGAGTGTGGGGACGGGGGCGGAGACGGGGGGTCTTAAAGAGGCAATGACGTCACTCGGCCACCTCCCCCGGGGAGGGGCAGAGACCCCGACCCGATCGGCAGTGGGCGCGAACGCTTCCCAAGCTAGTCAAAGAGGGGCGCTAGAGACCCAGACTGCTGCACCTGCAACCGGTTGGGATTCGGGGACCCGGGTTGGCTGACACCTCAGCCACCACTTATTAGCACTATGACCTCGGGAATTCATTCAACTTTCCCAAGCCTCAGTTTTCTACTCTGAAAAATGAAGACAGCAAGCATGCATTTTAGTATGTATGTCCTAAGGTATAAATTAAAGAGAACATTATTACACTACTGGAGTGACTCTGAATCATGTACAGCCAGAGGAATGAGAAGTTGTGCTCCATTTGTGTACCATATGTCAAATTACATTCTACTGTAAAATTAATTTCAAAAAGGAACATAATTTTTGCTATTGTTGCAGCCCCGGGGGGGCCCTTAAAAAAGCAGCAGTTAGCCTCACGCAGTGGCGCACGCCTGTAATCCCAGCGGCTCCGGGAGGCTGAAGCAGGAAGATCAGGAGTTCAAAGCAGCCTCCGCAACTTAGAGAGGCCCTAAGCAACTCAGTGAGACCCTGTCTCTAAATAAAATATATAAAAAGGGCTGGGGATGTGGCTTAGTGACTAAGCGCACCTGGGTTGAAACCCCAGCACCAAAAATTAAATTAAATTAAATTTTAAAAACCAGCAGTTACCCCCTGGTTTAAAGAACCTTTGGTCATGTATAATTAATTGGAACAATTTTTTTTTTTTTGGTAAAGAATCTTTGAGAGGACTGGGATGTAACTCAGTGGTAGAGTGCTAGTGCAGGAGGTCCTGGGTTTGATCCTCAGCTTTGCAAAACAAAATAAAATTTTTTGAAAGATCTCACAGAGTTAAAAATTGTATAAGAAATCAATAATTATTTTTATGGGTTGTTTCATATCTGATTCGCCCTATCCCACAAGTTCCGGATTTGAGCGCCGAATGGGCAGAACCGGGTCCGCATGCTTGCAGAGTACTGGAGTGCCCCAGCGCTGGGACTGTTTGTTGAAAGAATGACTGAAGGTAGCGGGCCGCACGGGGAGGGGCATCCCGGAGCGGATGGCCGGGCGGGAGGAGGCCAGGGCCCCGCCCCGGAAGGCGGGGGCGGGGGCGGGGCGGCGATCCCCTGTCTCCGCCGCCCGGCGGCCGGTGCAGACGGCGGTGGCCTCCAGGCGCTTACTATGGCTCTTGGCTCGATGCGCCCGATGCTGCGGCTCCTCGTGCTGGGGCTCGGGCTGGGGCTGCTACGCGCCGCAACCGGGGAGCAGGCACCAGGTATGCGGGGCACAGGGGCTGGGAGCCAAGATTGGGTGCCTGGAGGACCATCCGGAACTGGGAAACCGGACGGACGTAGAGATCCGGGGTCAGGTGGTCTTCAGACTCCGTGTGTTCTAATGGGGAAGGTCCATCACACTCCCAAGTTTCATTCCTACTCTGGGCTCTCAGTTTCTCTGCATGTCCAATTGGGGTGTGGGGTCTTCTGCCCCAAAAGTCCTTGCCAGAAGTGGAGAGGAAGTTTAAGGGCGGGAGGTTTCTTCGGTAAGAGGGCACACCCCCCAGCCTGGTCTTTAAGGGTCTGCCCAGCCCCAGTGATTGAAGAGTGGGGGGGGGAGGGTGTTGGGAATTCTGGGGGTCTGTGCCTTCTATACCATGTGGGGTGCCCCCTTCCATCCGGTGACTTCAGTGCCCAGCTATGCGGGAGGAGGGACCGGGGTCGGGCCGGGTGCCCAGGAGTGAGTCACCCACTGGCGGCGGGGGGGTTGTGGGGACCTGACCCCTCTCCCCAAAGTTCCACGCTACTACCCCCACCCGCACTGCCATCTCCGGGTCATGCCGTTCGGTCACCTGTGAGGAATGCGGGGGGGAGGGCGCCGGTGACTCACGTTATTCGAGCCGACTGACCCTGACCTCAGCCCCCAGAATAGCCGCGTCCCGCCCCCATGCTAACCCGCTGCCCCCTCCCCAGGCACCGCCCCCTGCTCTAGCGGCAGTTCCTGGAGCGCGGACCTGGACAAGTGCATGGACTGTGCGTCGTGTCCCGCGCGACCGCACAGTGACTTCTGCCTGGGCTGTAAGTGGGGTGCGGGTCCGGCGGCAAGTGGACCTCAGTGGAGCCGAGAGGGTAGCTGGGGGGGCTAGAGGGCTTCGGATCTGGGAAATTAATCCCCAGAAGGCGCAAGTGGGGTGCAAGCTTGAGGCTCAGTTCTAGGGGGCTGGGCTGGTCCGGAGAGGGTCGAAGTCTGACTTGAATCTTGGTCCCCAGGCGCTGCGGCACCTCCCGCCCCCTTCCGGCTGCTTTGGCCCATCCTGGGGGGTGCCCTGAGCCTGGCCCTGGTGCTGGCACTGCTTTCTGCCTTCCTGGTCTGGAGACGGTGCCGCAGGAGAGAGAAGTTTACCAGTAAGTGTGCCCCGCCAAGCCGCCTACCCCATCGATCTTCCACATTTCAGCTGCTCATGACCCACGTCTTATCTTGCAGCCCCCATAGAGGAGACTGGTGGAGAGGGCTGTCCAGGTGTGGCGCTGATCCAGTGACTGAGCACCCCCACGGCCTGTGCGGCACTCACTCAATCCGTTCATTCATTTGTTCATTCATTCTGGAGCCAGCTCCTGCCTCCCAGACACAGGCCTAGCCAGGTTCCTCCAACCACAGGCGGGGCAGGCAGTGAATCACCCCTGAGACCTGGGCCCAGGGTTCAGGAGAGCCTTCCAAGGAGTCTGATTGCCCTATGTCTGTCTGGTTCCAGGACAGAAAGGGAGCCTCAAGCTGGCTCACACTAAGAAACTGCAGCATTTGCACAAGGGGGGTCTCTCCCTTCCCCTGATGCCCTGGATACCAGGCTGACTTCAGGGGCAGACACAACACTAGGCCCGACCCACACAGATGGACTGAAACTCCTCTAGGGGTCCTCATCTTGGGGGATTAGGGCCCTGTTCTTATAGGGGGCTGGCCCTCTAGGAGGGCTGGCCCTAAAATACAGACCCCTGCAACCCAAAGGGGGGAGGAGATATTTATTTTGGGGAGAACTTTAGAGTGGAGGGAGAATTTATTAATAAAATAATCTTTAACTTTAAATGGTTTGGAGTGTGGCATGATCCTGGGCTTGACTCCCCAGAGCTGGAGGGAGGGAGTGAGTCAGGCTGCCACGGGGGCGGAGGCGGGGGGGGGGGGGGGGGAGGCTCTGACTCACACATTCTCAATGCCTGGAGCCCAGCCTGCCAGGACCTGGCCAGCCGTTTTCCAGGGAAGATCTTGAGGAGAAACACCAGCATCCAGCACCCCACCCTTCCCAAAGGCCTCAGGTTTCAGACTGAAGACTTCAATTGTTCAGCAATTTTTTATTCCCTTTTTCAGGGCATACCTCCCCTTCCCCTGCTGCTGCCCTCCCATCCCAAGGTTCCATTGAGTTCAGTGTCCTCTTCTCTTGAGGAAAGGTCCTGTTGCCCAAACACCAATTTGGAGGAAGATACACAAGCAAGCACCTTGTCCCTTCCTGAGGGTTGCAGTCTCCCCTGGGGAAAGACATGGGGAATGATGTTGCCCACTATTGCTCAGAGGTCCATTATGTCCCCAGCTGGGGTTGCAGGATAGTGGGGACTAGGAGTATCCCCCAGCCTCAGCAGCCGGAGAGCCTCAGGGATTAAATTCCCAGGATAGCGCCAGAGAAGTAGTTCTGAGCAAGGACTCCTGGAAGAAGAAGAAATGACAGTCAAGACACTGGGCTGAAAACAGGCCTGGACCTGGTGGGTCCAGGTTTCTCACTCGGAGTCAAGATGTGAATCAGCACAGAAGTTGGCTACAAGTTAAAAATAGCATGATGAGGCAGGATATGATGAGTGGCAGTTCTGAGGACCCGTTATGATCCTCTGGAAGACTTAGTGGAGATGCCTACCTCAGTGAGGGCAGGGCGGGTGGAAAAGCCATGGGGGGGCTGCAGTAAGGGTGGTCATTATGTAGGCTCAGGCGAGAGAAGTGGGTGGCCATGTTCTCCTCAGACAGAAACTGCTTTCGTAACGGCTCCCTGGGAAGAGATGGGGAGGAAGGCAGGCAGGGATATTAAGAGGGGAGGTAGATTGGTGGGCATCAGAGGAGACTGATATTGGAAGTCCTCCCTGCCCTCAAACTCACTGCTCCTCCTCCAGGCGCCGCTTGGTGCTCATGGGCATAGCTCCTCGGAGAGGGGAGCTGGGAAAAAGAGAGAGCCAGGAGCACCCCACCTTCGGCCCCTTCCCAAAGATCTATCCACCTGAGCTTGCAGCATCAGCACCTGAGCACCCAGCCCATTCCTGTGATGGTGGCACCTAAGCCACCCATTCTGGTCATCAGAATACCTGGAAGGTCTAAATCCCAAGCTCCCAGACTCAGCCGGACCTCAGCTTAAGTCCCACAGTTTGCTCCACCCGGTATCAACCCTTAGGCCAGCCATGAGTCCCCAGCCAAAGCTGCGCTCCTCAGTCGTACCAACCCAGGGATCCCATACGTACCTGGCGTCCTGGCCTCGAGTCGCCCCTGAGGCGGTCCGCGGATCGTGCAGGGCCCGACGTGGGGGGCCCCGCTCCAGGGGCTGCTGAAGGATCATTGGGGTTCAGGGTATTAAGGCAGGAGGGGTAGGATCCGGGTGATAGGGGCGGAGCCTTCGGGGGCGTGACCCACTGCGAGGGGCGTGGCTTCTGGCGCGCGCAGTGGCGAGGCCTGCGCAGGCGCGGAAGACGAACGGCGCGTGGCTGGAAGGCGCGTAGGTTCGGCGGGGTGGGGGAGGGGTCCCGACGTAACAGGGCAGCGGCGCCACTTAGTGTCGAGGGGCTTCGCGGCGCTCTCCTCTGTTTTTGGGGTGCGTGAAGCACGTGGTAGCCACTTTTCGCGCTCGGCCGGCCGGTAGTGTCGAGACACGGTGCCGCGGAGGGTAGCCGCTTGCGCGTACGTCCGGAGTCAGAAGGCTACGTTCCGCGCGGAGCACTCTGGGAGTAGTAGTTCCTGCGATGGAGCGCGCTGCCCCGCTAGCGGTGCCTCTGGGTCAGGTGAGTGGGTTTTGTGCGCGGTGCCTTCTGGGGTTTGTAGTCCATGCTTTGCTTGAATGGGATGGACAAGGAAAGATGAGGCAGCCCTGGTGTGCGTGGGCCGTTTGTGGGATTTGGACTCTAATGGGGGGAGGAACAGGAGAGTAACCCAGAAGGGCCTAACTTGGATAGGAATTAGATGTTGGTACCGGTTTTTTTGTGCAGGAAAAATAGAGCCACTTAAAAAACAAAATAGTTGAGGCCTGAAACGGAGACACGCCTGGGAACTCGAGGCTCAGGCAGGAGCATCACAAGTTCGAGGCCAGCCCTAGCTACATAGCGAGACCCTGGCTCAAAATAAAAAGAACTGGGAACCTCTCGAGGTGGCTCACGCGTGTATTCCCAGCTCCTTGGGAGACTGAGGCAGGAGGATTGCAAGTTCAAGGCCAGCCTAACCAACTGATTGAGGTCATATGCAACTTAGTGAGACCCCATCTAGAAATTTAAAAAATAAAAAGGGACAGGAATTTAGCTCAGTGGTAAAGCACCCCGATTCAATCCCCAGTGCCAATAAATAACAACAACAACAATAATAATAATAATAAAAAGAACTGGGGATGTAGCTCAGTTGTAAAGGGCCCCTGGGTTCAATACCTAGTACCCACCACCCCCAAATTAACAGAATAACTGTAGAAGAGACACTGTTTTGTGATGCTGGAGATCAGTCCCAAGACCTTATCCACGCCAAGTATGCGCTGCACTGCCAGCCCCAAAGAACCAGTTTTTAAGCACTTTCTATGTGACAGCCCCATGTGAAACTCTTTATATACATTAGCTCACCTAATTGTGATAGACTCTCCTGTGACCTCCATCTCACCACGGGAGAAACTGATAAGAGAGGTTTTGGTGTTTGCTCAGAGGTCCACTAGACATCATTTCTGCTCCTCTTTCCTCACCCTCTTCTTGGAGCCACTCTTAGTTATGCATGGGCAAAGTGCCTTTGTGGTGGGCCACCTCAAAAGAGGGCTGAGAAGTCTTGGCAGTGGGAAGCCAGGCCTGTGGCAGGGAAGGCATGAAGAAGTCTGTAATTGGGGGCCTCATCCAGCTTCTCCCCACAGACAGAGGTGTTTCAGGCCCTGCAGCGGCTGCACATGACCATCTTCTCCCAGAGTGTTTCACCCTGTGGGAAGTTCCTGGCGGCAGGCAACAATTATGGGCAGATCGCTGTCTTCAGGTACTCTTGTCCCTTGCTCCCTACCATGTGTGAATCCTGGTATTTGGCCCTCCTGCTTCTGACCTGGCCTTGCCTCCCCCCTGCAGCCTGTCTGCTGCTTTGAGTTCAGAGGCCAAAGAGGAAAGCAAGAAACCCGTGGTGACCTTCCAAGGTGGGTATAGCCATCAAGTCTGGCTTAGAGGACCCTGGAGTGGAAGAGGGGACAGGGTGGGCTAAGGTTCTTCATTTCTTTTCAGCCCATGATGGGCCCGTCTACAGCATGGTCTCCACTGATCGACATCTGCTCAGTGCTGGCGATGGGGAGGTGAAGGCCTGGCTTTGGGCAGAGATCCTCAAGAAGGTAAGGAGTCTAGAGGCTGGGGAAGGGTTGGCCTGCCCTATGCCAGGGAGAGCCTTTGAGGTCACCTGGTGTTTTCCCTTACAAAGGGCTGTAAGGAACTGTGGCGTCGTCAGCCCCCATACAGGTGAGCCAGGGCCACTTGGGTGGAAGGCAGGTAGGGTGAGGGCACTAGCCTCACTGATGCTGACCCTGCTTTTTATCCCCCAGGACCAGCCTGGAAGTGCCTGAGATCAATGCCTTGCTGCTTGTCCCCAAGGTCTGATCCCTTTGTGACAGTCTGATCCTTCATCCTCTCCCTGTCTTGATTTGACACTGACTTCTAGCTCTGCCCTGCCTTCCTTTGCAGGAGAATTCCCTCATCCTGGCTGGGGGAGACTGTCAGTTGCACACTATGGACCTTGAAACTGGGACTTTCACGGTGGGTGAGCAGGGCCCTGGAATTGGGGCAGATCAGAGCCAGGGGGAAGCACTCTTCCTGGGTCCCCCTTTACCCTGGCTCTCTCCTGCAGCGGGCCCTCCGGGGCCACACAGACTACATCCACTGCCTGGCACTGCGGGAACGCAGCCCTGAGGTGCTGTCAGGTGGCGAGGATGGGGCTGTGCGACTCTGGGGTAAGTAGGTACAATTGGATGGTAAAATAGTGGTAAGGGAGGCTGGGAACGGTAGGGCTCATAGGGAGCTCTCATGATTCTTTCCCCACAGATCTCCGAACGGTCAGAGAGGTCCAGACGATTGAGGTCTATAAGCACGAGGTGAGGACAGGACTCATACCTCTGTTCTGTATGCCCCCCAACTCCCCAAAGTTGTCTTTACCTTTTCCCTCCCCCGTCAGGAGTGCTCAAGGCCACACAACGGGCGCTGGATTGGATGCTTGGCCACTGACTCAGACTGGATGGTGAGCCTGCAAATTGTGTGGTCAGATGGGGTGGCAGCTCTGGGCCCTGTCAGCTGAGGGCCCATGGCTCTCAGTGGCTAGGGACTCCTACCTTTCTTCCCAGGTCTGTGGAGGGGGCCCAGCCCTCACCCTCTGGCACCTCCGGTCCTCCACACCCACCACCATCTTTCCAATGCGGGCGCCACAGAAGCATGTCACCTTCTACCAGGACCTGGTAAGTCCCTCTGTTTCACTTCTGCCACCCCTGCCTGGCTCCCCTCTCTAGTCCTGACCCCACTCCCTGTCCTCCACAGATTCTGTCAGCTGGCCAGGGTCGCTGTGTAAACCAGTGGCAGCTGAGCGGAGAGCTTAAGGCCCAGGTGCCTGGATCTTCCCCAGGACTGCTCAGCCTCAGCCTCAACCAGCAGCCAGCAGCCCCTGAGTGCAAGGTGGGTGAAGCAAGGGGCTCTGGAGAGTCACTGGAGCCTTGGGGGGTGTCGGCAGGTCGGTCATGCCCTTCTTGTCCCTAGGTCCTGACAGTCGCTGGCAGCAGCTGCCGGGTGGATGTTTTCACCAACCTGGGGTACCGAGCCTTCTCCCTGTCCTTCTGACATCGGACAACATACCCCCACCTTAGGGATTTGGAGTGTTTATCTTTTTTTTTTTTCTACAATAAAGTTTCAGGCTTTTCTTCTATGTGCTTCCTTCCCAAGAATGGAGGCCAAGTCCATATAGTGGTTTATATATTACTCTGTCTGTTCTTGATACATAAATACCCACACCCACCCCTGCCCTGGAGCAGCCAGAGACTCAGGGAGCCTAGCGCTTAGAAATGATAGACCTATACAGACTGCGAAAATAGAAGCTCTGTTGCACTGCCCCCGCCACCCACCTGGGGTCTCTAGCCCCGAAGCTGCCCCTACTCCCAAAGAGCCCCTGTCTAGCCTCCTGGGGTGAAGAGGGCACCAACCCCACTTGGAAGACATCCAGGCCCTGTCGCTCCATTGGCCCTGAGAGGAAAGTATGCCCCAGAGTGAGTCAAGGGTGGTCGCCTCTGCCCAGCCCTCAGGTCCTTCGGAAAAGGTTGCTGAGGAAGCCGCCGGCAGGCCCGGGGCCCAGGCGCAGTGAGAAGCGTGCTGTGGAGCGGCGTGGGGTCGATGCTGCCGCGCTCAACTCGTTCTGGCGCTGTGACCGCAGCTGCTGCCCGATCACCACCTGCATGTCGTCCTGCGGGAGGCGGGACGGGAGGAGGGTCAGTGCTCAGGTCCCACCTGCCCCAGGCCCCAGGCCGCCGGGGCCTGGGCCCCGCCCCCGCCGCTCACCTGCCAGGCCTCCAGCTCCTGCGTCAGCGCCACCTTCTGGCGGATGGTGCGCAGCAGCTCCCGGGACAGGGAGTCCCTCTCCAGCGAAACGCGGCTGAGCTCCAGGGACAGTTCCACGGCCCTGCCGGCGGAAAACAAGTCCGAGGGCGCCGGGGACTCCAGGAGCCAGGATGGTAGTGGGCTCCTGGGCCACGACGGGAGGGGGGTCGCTAACAGCAAGACCACAGAGGGCAGAGGGCCCCTGGGCCGGGGTGGGGATAATAACCCATAAGGCGGAGAGCAATTAAGAGCACAGAAGGACCAGAGTACCGAGGGGTCCTGTCGCCCCGCTGGGGCGGTGGTGAAGGGTGGCAATGGCTCACTTGTTCACAGCCTCGTCACGGTCCAAGAGGGCGCAGCTTAGGGCCTCCGCGGGATTGTCCTCTGCCCGCAGCTCCTTCTGCCTTTGCAACTCCTCCCTCAAGGTCTGCAGCTCTTCCCGCTGCAGTGTGATCTGCACAGGGGAGCAGCAGAAAGTTGGGTCCCGGGCAGCCTAGGCTCCAGTTCTCCCTGGCTCCCCCGCCTGCTCCACTGTGCAGAAGGCTCATGGATTCAGAGGCCCTCAGGCTGGTGCACGGTGGGGTGGGGCAAGCCTGGTGGGGTGGTATATGCAGGAAGGAAGCTGGAAGAGGCAGTGGGTGTATGGGAGGGGCAATGCGCCTGTAGGGGCCGTATACATTAGTTCTTTTTGAGACAGGGTCTTCCTAAGTTGCCGAAGGTCTCCTTAAGTTGATGAGGCTGGTCTCAAACTAGCCATCCACCTGCCTCAGCCTCCCAGTTGCTGGAATTACAGGCATGTGCCATTACAAATTCATGTATAGGAGGCTGAGTGAGCACAGGCTGGGAAGTGGAGGTGGGAATGAACTGAGGAGCTTATGGGACTCTACATCCAGCACTCAGCCCTTCCCCCACCTCATCTTGCAGCCTAGCCACTTCCTCTTCCTTCTCTTCTAGTATCTCCACTGGGCTTAGAGGTGCTCGCTTCTTAGGGGGCTCCAAGCTCTCTTCCTGGGGTGAAGATGGGGGTCTGGATGCCTCTTGGGTCTCCAGGGATGGGGTGATCTGTGGGCCAAAGGAATCAGTCAGTGCCCTAGCTGAATCAGGAATCAGGAATCAGCACCCCTAGCTGATGATACTGGTTGGGGGCTGGTGGGCTGCGAGCTTACCTGGGTGTCTCCACATACACTGGTGTCCTGGTCCTCGTACTGGTCGCCTTCGAGGCTGTGGGCCAACTCCGATTGCAGTGAGGCACTGGAGACGTTGGCGTCCTGAAGGCGTGACTCCTCTTCCAGCTCCAAGACGCGCCGCTGCAGCCTCCGCAGGGCGCTCAGCACTTCCCCAGCCTCAAAGCGAGCACGTTCCAGCTGCAGAGGGCCAGAGGGCAGTCAGCCTGAATGCCAGCGCCTGCATCTGGTGGTGGCCCACAGAGGGCGCCCGAGCACCGGCAGCCTTGAGCCTCAGCAGCCCAGTGCTGCAGTTTCTGGAGCGCAGAACTACTTTCCCTGAACGGATGCCAATTTCCTCCCCTATAAAATAGGGCGCGCCGGGCATCATCCTTGCCTGTTCCACCTATCAGGTCACTTCACAGCGCAGTCCCCTCCCCTGTCCAGTCTAACTTCTAATTCTCACTAATTGCTTTGATCCAACATGTATTTCTCCTAAGCCTCATGCCTCACCACAGCCCAGAGGTGGGTGCCATTAGCATTCCGTATCACAAAGGGGAAAACAGGCTGGGTTCTCCACAATGGTAACAAGAGACAGTGGGATAAAAAGCCAGGCAATCCAGAGCACATATCTCTGAGGTCTCAAATATCAGAGGTCCTTCCCTTTTTTGTTCCTTTTCTCCATCACTACCACTCCAGATGTGGATAGTCTAGACCAGGCATTTCTGGCCTGAATCCTGGTCTTAGCCCTCTCCCAAGTCTCCCAGCCACCAGGCTCTGATGCATTGAGAGCACACCACCCCCCCCTGCTCAACAGCCCACTGTGGCTCCCACTTGCCCCAGGCTCATGCCCACGTTTTTGTGACCCAGGTGCTGGGTTTCCAATGATCGAGGGCCACATCTCCCAGAAAGCCCTGAGGCTATTGCTAAGGACCCAGCTTTCCCCCTCCCCCATAGTTCACCTCGAGGCTGTGCTCCTTCTTCTCCCGCCTTAGCAGCAGCAACTCCTCATGAGTAGTCTGCAGTCTGCCCTGGCCCTTGTCCACCTCCTCACGCAGGCTTCGGATCTGTGCCTCCAGGTCCTGCCGGCGGCTCTGCAGCATCTGGTTCTGGGGGAAGGTCTCAGGGTGGGGTGGGAAGAGTGGGCCAGCCCCATGGAGCCCCCAGCCCAGTCTTTCTGGTTCAAGCTGACCCCCAACCCTTAACCCCCAGCCCCAGCAGGCACTCACCTCCCCCTGCAGACTCTCTAGCCGTGTTCTTAGCTCTGCCCCAGCCAGGGCCTGAGCCTGGCACTGACCCCGAAGGGCGTCTAGTTCTCTCTGGAGCTCCTGCTCAGTCTGGGAGGCCTGGGTGGGGGAGAGGGCAGGGGAGCCCTCAGTGGGCTCAAGCTGATTCCCGCTGGCCCCACACCACCCATGCCCAGGGATCAAGGCAGTCCCACCTGGGCCAGCTGCTGGCTGAGCCGGAGGTTCTGCTCACTGAGCTCACTGAGCGCCTGTGCGCGCTGGCGGCCGCTGTCCTGTTGCTCTGAGCGCTGCTCTCCCAGCTGGGCCCTCAGCGCCTCCACGTCCCCCTCCAGCTCCACAGCCCTGGCCTCCCACTCAGCGCCCCGGGCTGCCAGGCCCCTGCGGAGCTCATGGTTCTCTTGCTGCAGCCGCTGTGGGACCAGGCAGAGGGTCAGACACAGAAGGAGACATAGGATTGGAGCAGACCCAGAGATGGGGATGGAGGGACAGACAACCAGAGACCAGCTGGCCAGGAGGGGGATGCTCTTGGCACACTGAGTGAGACCTGAAAGCTAGAGAGGAGAGTCAGGGAGAAAGCACGACACAGCACAGCCCAGAGAATCAGAAGGCAGCAGAGGAAAGCAAGAGAGAGAAGGGGCCAGGCCAGGCAGGATGGTGATGCTGGCTGGGGGCGTGGAGCTCCCCAATGGCCACTCACCTCTGGCTGCTGCCTGAGCTTCCCGACCCGAGGTCGCAAGCGCCGTTTTTGGCGCCTGATTCTGGCTGAATTTAAGCCCCGGCCCATGGCCTCACACAGCTGCAGTGTCCTGGGGGCTTTGCAGGCCCAGTCTCTGCCCAGCCCCTCTCCCCCAGTTCCCTCTAATTAACTCTGGTCAGCCCCGCCCTGGCCCCATGCCTCTGCCTGCCCTCCCCAAAACCTGTTGGACCAGCGGGGGGACGCGCTTGGCACACCCAGGTGCCCAGCATGAGGAGACAGACAAGTTGGAGGGCTACTCTCTCTAGGTCCTCAAGGCACAAAAGCCTGGGCCAGGTGACAGTAACCATGGTTGTTACAACTATTAGCAAGTATTCCTGCCAGCTGCCTGTCAGAGCTTACCAGGTATTCAATCCACTAGAGAATGCTTAACAGACTCAGGGGGGCTGAATGCCTCGCCCAAGGACACAGTTAGTGGAGCAGGGGTGCCAACAGGCAGCAATGTCTTAACCAAATACTGTGGGGGCAGCCCTCCTGAAGGATGAAGCTGGCAGGTTAGGATCCCATTGTCCTGGCCCTGCTGCTGCCACCATGTGGTCGGGACAAGTCTCTTTAATGTGTCCATGTTTCATCCCTCCCTCCCTCCATCATCCACCATCCATTCTCCATCTCTCCATCCAATATTTCCTGAGTTCCTGTTCTGGGGTCTCTAAGTCGATAGACCACCAAGTCCACTGCCTCAAGCAGCTTAGTGTCCAGAGGGTCACAGGCAAATGGATACAGACTTGAGCCAGGTAATCTGAGAGACAGTAAGGGCTGTGAAGAAACCTGCAAAGTGATGAAGAACAACGGGGGTGGGGGTGGTGGGGGGGGAAGCTGTCAAGGAGACATTGATTGGGTTGACTCCTGCAGTCAACCAGGAGGAGGGCTGTGAAACAGCAACACAAGGGCCCTGAAGGGGCAAGCTGCAGTCACTCTGAGAATTGAAAAAGAGAAGTGGGTGGGAAGGATGGCAAAGCCAACAGGTCAGGGAGGCCAGTGGACTTGAGGGACTCTTAGGCTGTGGCAAGAGTTTCAGTTTCATCTTAAGTGTGATGGGGAGCTATGGGGAGATTCTGAGCCAGGAGAGAAATGATCTGATTTGCAGTGTTTGAAGTTCACTGGCTGCTCCTTGGGAATGGGTTCCAGGAGGCAAGAGGAGTCAGTGATAGGGCACTGAAGTGCCTTGAGCAGAAGCAATGCCCGGGGCTGCCATCAATGTAGAG